GGGCGCCTTGGGGGGGTTTCCCCGGGGTTTTGGGAAAAACCTTTTTTTTACCCCCCCTTGGGGGGGGGGGGGGGGGTGGTTTCGAAAAAAATATGTGCAGCTAAGATTTCGTTGAAATCTTTCAATGGATGGTCGGAGATAATTCGAATTTGGTGTGGGAATAAATTTAAGTCCACGGTCTAAGATTGAAAGAATTTTGCGGCTCAAGTTAACTACAGTTTGGCCTAGCGGTGGCCTCTCAGTATTTTTATCCCCAGTAATTAGATTAAAGACTTACTCGATGCTTGAAGCTGGTGTATCCAAAACAAATAAATGCTGTTTGCTGTTTCTGGAGACCAATGAAGATTATCAACTGGTTCGAATTCTTCTTCGTAGGGTGGTAAGATTGTTGCGCTGTTGATACTGGACTCCATCATCATGTTGTTGAGAGTGCTGAGGTTCTGTTGTGCTTTCTTCGAGATTTTATTTGAAATGGGTATACATGTGAAGAGGATCTTGTAGTTTGGGAAGGTTTTGTTGGCTGTGGCGATTAATTTCTGGGCTTGGTTAAAGGAGGTCTTTGGTAGCTGATCACGGTTGTTGAGGCCTACATGAAGAATAATGGTAGTAGATTTGGGATCATGGTCGTATGATTCCAAGATTGACTGTATGTGATGGATTTGGGCACCGGGGTAAGAATGTATTTCAGTGTCTGAACTGGTTTTGGTAATTCGATTCAGGTTAGATGATCCAATAATTAAGGTAGATTCCTTTAGAGCGGGTAGCTTCCATAATGATTTGTCCATGGTTTGGTGATAATACGGTTTGGTAGCGGATATAATGGTCGTCGACGGTGTGATTGGTACTGGTTTGGTAGTTGTTAGAATTGTAGCATTGGGAACGGACTGGGATCTGGTTCGAGGGGGGGAAGGTCTGGAAATACGTCTCGACTTCGATGGAGACTGAGGGGTGGTTTGCTGGTCCAAAAACGCACAAAAGGAAGAAAGGTTGGCGGATCCTGGATCACGTGGTGAAGATTCAGATGGTGTGGAAGGGGAAGACGAGTCTGAAAGTGAAAAGAGAAGGGGAGTGCCCTCTCTACGAGAGCGTTTACCTATGTCTGCTGGACTAGGAGTAGGTGAACTTCGGGCTCGTTTAGGGGTTTGGTTCGCCAGCGTCGTGGCTCTAGATGGTGCAGGTGTAGTGTCCATTTCAGTTGGTAGAGATATGGTTACTCTGGTTTTTGTTTCGTTGATTGTTTGGTAGAACTTGGTGATTAATGCTTGAGTGAGACATTTCCCATAGGAGCGGTGGGCCCAGGACAGGGCATGGGAAACGATGCGGTCGACGGCAGCTGATGATAAAGACTTGGTACGAATGGTGGTCAGCTTCTCTTGAAGTGTGGTTTGGTAATGGTCGATCAGGACCTGCGTAACCTTAGAGAGCCATGTCCGATTGAGGGATCTAATATTCGCGTCAACAGCTGATGTTTTCATTGCTGGGCGGATAAAACTATCCAACTCAGAGACTTTGCGTTTGAAGGTAAACGCTGGTTGGCCTTGCTGTTGAAGGGTAAGGATTGCCAAATGATGGAGGCACTGCAAAACTTGGAAGAACACCTTCACAAAAGGTTCTTCCTCCTTATGAGTGGGGACTGGTTGGCGTCGGTGGGCTGGTAGTCGTTTCTGTTGTTGGCCAGGTCGATGGTTACCTCTTGATTGGTAGGTGTTGTAGGTAGGTCGGCGATGGGGTGGGATATAGCTGGATGGGTTGGTTGGTGGTCGGCGATTGGTAGGTGGTAGAGGTCGATGGAAGACAGGGCCGTTGTAGAGTACGTGATATTGGTTTGGTTGACGATAAGTGTTTCTATGTCTGGCTTCTTGCCAGCGGTTGTTGTAGTTGGGGAGCATAATGAAAATAACTTGAGGTTAGAAAGGGAATGTACAGCGGATGTAACAGGAGGAAACTATATACTAGCGTGAAAATGTGGGGATCAAATTATGCAAATAAGTCAAACTGGGTTTGGGGATATATAAAGTAAGGTGAAAGTTATGATGAAAAATGCAAAAATATATATTTAGGTGATAAATAACGCTAACAATGATGTGAAAAATTATAACAAGTAAAACAAAAACTTACGCAATTGACACGAACCGGTTTTCGAAATATTGTCCTTTTTCAAGTGTCGATGTATGGTGTGATCAATTATATTGATGAAATCCTGGTCAAGTTTGAATTTGAAGATTTTTTGATGAACTGTTTTTGAGTTATTGCCCTCGACACAATAGGGACTACAGTTTTCAAATGATTTTAATGAAATTTGGTGTGATCATTTATATTGATGAGATCCCGGTCAAGTTCGAATTTGAAGATTTTTTGATGAACTGTTTTTGAGTTATAGCCCTTGACTTAGGAAAAACGCGTCAAAATTTGTTTGTGAACACAATAGAGACTATAGTTTTCAAATGATTTTAATGAAATTTGGTGTGATCATTTATATTGATCAGATCCCGGATTTTCGTATTGCAGAAATTAGTAATTTAGTAATTTAGTAGTCAACTGAAAATATAAATGAAAATCTTTGATAACAATTGAGTTTAGGCTTAGGCCTAGGTTTACGTGGTCTACAAAGCAAATTAATTAAATTTACATAAAATGCATACATAATAGACTAGAATATTAGCAAATCTACTCACTCTAATAGTGGGAACTTTAAATGGGTTAATAATTGGCTTGGTCGCCTTATTCGTACTATAGTTATTTCGTACTTTCGTACTTTTTATCATTTCTTACAGCTGCCAGTGGGCGTATGTTATCTTGCCTGGCAAGCTATCTTTTTTCTCTGTAGGAAAGGCAAAGGCTGGTCGTGAGTCAATAGATTTAAGGTGTCATTTCGATGCTATTCGGATTACTGGAAGTGCAGTTTATTATGCCTTCGTTGTATCCCTTTCTAGTCATTGTATTATTTACATCGTATAAAATTCCACTGTTCATTGATGAGTAGGCCCTATACTTGGAAATTGTTTTTCTTTACTAATTAAAAAAACCTGATCCAAAATGCGTCTTTTTAGGTGTCAAGATGCCAGATATATGGTTCTGACTCCAAAGTCGATCCAATCATGTGTTCCGTATTCATTTAGTGCCCGAGCCTTTGGCAACCATTCCTACACATTGAAGGCGGAACTTCAACGTTCCTATAGTGGGAATACAATTTCTTCAATTACCACTGAAATATGTAAGTATTTGGTATTAGTGTATTAGTATTAGTGTATAAGTGTATTACTCTCTAAAGGGCTAGCACAAATATATTTATTTCAAACTCAAGACTCTAGATTTTTTCTCATTCTATACCACCATCCTACACCACTACCATTCTGTACAATCATCATTCTATGCCACCACCATTCTATACAACCATCATTCTGAACCACCATGATTCTATACCACCATTCTACACCACTACCATTCTGTACAGTCATCATTCTATGTCACCACCATTCTATACAACCATCATTCTATACCATCATTCTACACCACTACCATTCTGTACAATCATCATTCTATGCCACCACCATTCTATACAACCATCATTCTGAACCACCATAATTGTATACCACCACTCCATACCAACATTTTAAGACCCACTATCATTCCGTACCATCATTTTATACCTCCATCATTCTATACAATCATCATTCTATACCATGATTCTATACAACCATTCTATACCACCATCATTTTTATCACCATTTTGTATTATCATTCTACACCACCAACACCATTCTATACCATTCTAAGGTTCTCTTTTTTTATACCACCATTCTATACCACCATGATTCTGTATCATCATTCTATATTTCACCATCATTCTATACAACCACCAGTCTGTACCAACATCATTCTATACCACAATTCTTTACCATCACTCTACTATGTAGCCTACTACCATCATTCTGTACCATCATTCTATAAAACCATCATTCTATACCACCATCATTTATACCAGCATTCTGTACCATCATTCTATACCACCAACACCATTCTATACTATTCTGGAGTTTTTCTTCATTTTTTTCTACACCACTACTATTCTGTACAATCATCATTCTATGTCACCACCATTCTATACAACCATCATTCTGTACCACCAACATTCTATACCATCATTTTATACCACCATCATTCTATACAATCATCATTCTATACCATGATTCTGTACAACCATTCTATACCACCATCATTTTTATCACCATTTTGTACCATCATTCTATACCACCAACACCATTCTATACCATTCTGGATTATTTCTTCATTTTATACCATCATTTTTACAACCATGATTCTGTACCATCATTCTATGCCACCATCATTCTATACAACCATTATTCTGAATCGCCGTCATTCTATACCATCATTCTATACCACCTTTCTATGTTCCACCATCATTCTGTATCATCATTTTACATCATCCTTTTATGCCACCGTCATTCTATACCCCCATCATTCTATACCACCATCATTCTATACCACCATCATTCTATACCACCGATAGTTCATTGGACGTTAAAGAATTAAGGAAAACAACAAAAATATATTCTCAACCGGAAGTCAGACAGGAATAATGAGTATATTATATGGAGAGCTATATCAGACAAAAGTATAATATATGAAAAGACAAAATAGAAATAATAACATTGTGGCGCACCATCTATACCACCATTCTATACCATCAACACCATCCAATACCAACATTCTATACTAACAGTAAATAAGTTTAAATTATATTCCAGTGCCAGGCGATACAAACACCATTACGTTACAGGTATGTTATTTTTCAAGTTCTGTAATTTTATATCGGAAACAGCATGAAGGCATGAACAATAACAATAAGGATATCTCAAAAGACTTTCGATTTCCACTTGATTTATTTCTAACGAGTCTTTTTTACCTGGTTAAGGCTTGAAGATCCAAATTAGACTGTGCGTGTATTTCATTTCATATTATCTAACTAGGTTCCATGTAATTTAACTTCTTGGAGCATCTATCTTATTCTGGCGGGTACTGGTGAAACTACGTTTTATAATCGTCAATATCTGAGTGTGAACAGCAAAAATATGGAAATCATCATACAAACTGATAAAAAGGTATATAAACCAGGGCAAACAGGTACTACCTTCCTTATAAATTTAAAAGCTTATCAGAGGAATTATTTATTGTAATAAATATAATTTATACATCCAGCCAAACCAGATTTGGACCACGTGAAAATTCGTTTTGGTTGTTCATATGTACTGCTTTATTATCAAGTTTTCTTCACTTTTACTGGCAATAGGGGTATGAATTGTCTGAACCATGAGTGACATTCCTTTTGTGCTCCTATGAATCAATTCAATTCAAATGATAAGTTTATATGGTCTTTATTGTAGTAAAATATCGGGTATTTGGTGTTCGCTCGGATTTACAAGTGGTATGTTCTAACTATACCGTTACTGTCACAGTAAGTATACATCATGATCTTAGGTTTAAGATGTGATAACTCAATTCTTTGCTTTTGAAAGTACTAGTTTTTGTTTTAGATCTGATCACATTTGCATAAGATGAGGTTGTAAATTTGTATATCACTGATATCAGAGGCTTGTTGTCCCGATCATCTGTAAAATTATATCATGGAACACGTGTTGTATGAGTAGTATTGTTGTTGATTAATAAATGCTTTTTTACGAAAGAAAAAATATTAATCTGGAATGTAAAAATCTTCCACGAATAATTGCATTCAACCGATTTTACATTTTTGTCTATCAAATTCACTCTACGATACATCATGATTTTATTTTCAAGGACCCCAAGAGAAACAAAATTCATTTATACACTTCTGCTGGAGATGACTATTGTATAGTTGAAAGGGATTTAAAGCTGCCGAAGGAACCAATATTTGGAGCATGGAAAATAAAAGCGTCAGTAGAGGTAAAAAATTACTCGATCTTGATGACATAGATACATCACTGGGCCAGTATTGGTTGGCAAAAACTGTTTTGTCTTATTAAATTATAAATTGTCTTAGTCTTTGTCTTTGCTTTGTAAACGACGCTATTTTGAATCATCTCAACAAACAGAAACATATGTATTTCTTAAAATCTTTATCATAAACATACTTTTAATTTTTTTTAAACTTACATCATTTGGTCAAAATAAATTCTATTCAGTTTTGAAATTTGAAGAGATAAATAGTTTTGCTTATTTCACCTCTCTGCTTGATTAACAAATGTGTAATTTTCAAGTGTTTGGTCATTTAAAAAAAATTTTAAATCTATTTTTTGTTTATATGTTGGTTTGTACAATTGTTGATGAACATCTCGATTTCATGGTCTCCTAACTAAACGTAATATCTGTTATAACGTGCTTCCTTTTTAACCATGTGAACTTAATTTGCATTTTCTTTTAACGGCACACCTTATTATTTACTTTCTCAACAATTGTCTTCATGTTTTAATAATTATTTGTATAAATTCACAGAAAATGGAGCATACACAGACATTTAAAATTGAGAAATATGGTATGTATACAAATTATCAATTGTAATCATTATACTATCAATAAACTGAAATTTGTTATGTAAACATTATACTATCAATAAACTGAAATTTGTTATGTAAACATTATACTATCAATAAACTGAAATTTGTTATGTAATCATTATACTATCAATAAACTGAAATTTGTTATGTAAACATTATACTATCAATAAACTGAAATTTGTTATGTAAACATTATACTATCAATAAACTGAAATTTGTTATGTAAACATTATACTATCAATAAACTGAAATTTGTTATGTAAACATTATACTATCAATTAACTGAAATTTGTTAAGTAAACATTAATCTATCAATAAATTGAAATTTGTTATGTAAACATTATACTATCAATAAACTGAAATTTATAATGTAAACATTATACTATCAATTAACTAAAATTTGTTTTGCAAACATTATACTATCAATAAACTGAAATTTGTTTTGCAAACATTATACTATCAATTAACTGAAATTTGTTTTTTAAACATTATACTATCAATTAACTGAAATTTGTTATGTAAACATTATACTATCAATAAACTGAAATTTGTTATGTAAACATTATACTATCAATTAACTGAAATTTGTTATGTAAACATTAATCTATCAATAAACTGAAATTTGTTATGTAAACATTATACTATCAATAAACTGAAATTTATAATGTAAACATTATACTATCAATGAACTAAAATTTGTTTTGTAAACATTATACTATCTATAAACTGAAATTTGTTTTGTAAACATTATACTATCAATTAACTGAAATTTGTTATGTAAACATTATACTATCAATAAACTGAAATTTGTTATGCAAACATTATACTATCAATTAACTGAAATTTGTTTTGTAAACATTATACTATCAATAAACTGAAATTTGTTACGTTAACATTATACTATCAATAAACTGAAATTTGTTATGTAAACATTAATCTGTCAATAAACTGAAATTTGTTATGTGAACATTATACTATCAATAAACTGAAATTTGTTATGTAAACATTATACTATCAATAAACTGAAATTTATAATGTAAACATTATACTATCAATTAACTAAAATTTGTTTTGTAAACATTATACTATCAATAAACTGAAATTTGTTACGTTAACATTATACTATCAATAAACTGAAATTTGTTTTTTAAACATTATACTATCAATTAACTGAAATTTGTTATGTAAACATTAGACTATCAATAAACTGAAATTTGTTATGTAAACATTATGCTATCAATAAACTGAAATTTGTTATGTAAACATTATACTATCAATTAACTGAAATTTGTTTTTTAAACATTATACTATCAATTAACTGAAATTTGTTATGTAAACATTATACTATCAATAAACTGAAATTTGTTTTGTAAACATTATACTATCAATAAACTGAAATTTGTTTTTTAAACATTATACTATCAATAAACTGAAATTTGTTTTGTAAACATTATACTATCAATAAACTGAAATTTGTTATGTAAACATTATACTATCAATTATCTGAAATATGTTTTGTAAACAAATTATCAATAATCTGAAATATATTAAATTTTCATGAATTATGAAATATCAATAATCACAAAAATGTTAATAATTATCTAACATACATTAATGTAAACATATAGTACTATCAATTATCTGAAATTTGTGATGTATACAAAAATTACAAATAATCTGAAATATGATATTAATTATCTGAAATATGGTATGTACACAAATTATCAAAAATCTGAAAAATGATATTAGTTATCTGAAATATGGTATGTAAACATAAACATACTACAGTTATCTGAAATTTGTGTAAACAATAACTGAATGTATATATAATATTATTTGACTAATTCCCGAGAAAGATCCTCTTTTCAACGAATTTCCATTGTTTTCTGATTGTATCGCAGATAGTTAATATTAGAGGAAAACTCAAGCTGCCTGTGGTATTTTTACATATATTAACACTATCTTGAACAAAACTGATGATTGTTATAGTAACTGTTGTCAATAGCATACCGGTGTTGTCCATCGAGTAGAACAACTAGAAAATTCAAAAAATGTAAAGATGCAAAGCTTATAAAACCCAGTTGTTGAATTGCACAATTTAGCTTGTCTTTTTAGCTTAGACCGCCACAGTTATTACTTTAGTCAAATACTTTTTTGGGACTTAAAACATAAGAAGATAGAAGAATGACCTTAAGATCAATTAATCATATTATTAGTTTTCCTGCCAATGTTCTTCAATACATTAACTCATCCACAGTTTGCTTTCTTTCAAGTATTACCTAAAGCTGAAGCTAAAGTTATAATGCCGTCTATTGTAAGTCAGAAGGATAACTCGATTACAGTACAGGTTTCATCTCAGTAAGTTTGTTACCTCATATTGATAGAGATATTAGACATATGTTCATTATATCTTTATAGGTTGAACCATTTTGAAATATCAGCCTTTTTAAAATTCCTTCTTCTCTTTCATTGAACTTATTTGGACGACATTTTCAGCAAAAATAAACCTCCGAAAGCTATTTCCATGATAAACTTGCCTTTTGAACTTTGGAGTATTTCATACAAAAGATGAATGACCAACCCAAACTCCTCATTGCAATTAGATAGTTTACAGTATTTTTTCTCTGGATAACAAAATTAACAATGGAGATAAGGTGGAGGAACTGACGGACAGAATTAGAGAGAAATGGAATAAAATATCACTTTGGTAAAGTGATGTCTAATAGCCATATAAATATGAAGTCAAATTATTATCAGCATAGCTTTGATACTTTATGAAAAATAATGAATTGAAAAGAGTTATCGTTTTTTGTGAGCCACCAGATATATAAAAGTGTTCTTTCATGAATGAATTTGATTATTACATGTAGCTCTAAAATTGATCTATTAAGCACTATTTTATCAGCGTTAATGTTTTTTTTTAAATTTTAAAAATGTATTCACTTATCTGAATTGTGCTGATAATACTTTTCCATAGATGACAATGAATTACCATGGCATTTTTTAACTGTAACTTCGCCTTCTGAAATCTTTGTAGATATACGTTTGGTAAGCCAGTAAATGGATCTGCTAGATTAAGGATAATTGTTAACTATTATCCTAAAAGAAAATATCAAAAAGATCCAGATACAGGAAAATATGGTTACGTTGATCTGACCCAGCCTGAACTTATATATGACATGCAGGTAAATTCCAGTTACTCTTTACAGTTTTCGCATTTTTATAATACAATAGTTTCGTTTCGTACTAAGTTATTTGAAGGGATTGTAAAATTTGGATGTGTATTCAGTCAGACATGTGTGGTTCTTGCAATTCCACAAAAAAAGTGTTTGATCGTCGCAAATCGTTCTTTACGATTACTGATATCATAAAACACTTAGTTTAAGTGGAATTGCAGGAACCACAGGCCCCTGACTAGAAATTAAATTGTGCAAGTTGATTCTATCACTGACCTCGATAAACATAAATTGTTAAGAAAACCTCTTTACAACCCCAAGTCATTATACTGTTACAGTACGCCTTAAAACAATACAGACACATTGTTTCATAGCATGATTAACAATAAATGATGACAAAACTCTATGGCATAAAATGATAGGATCAATAGAATGTTTATTTAAGAAAACACAGTCTCTTTTAATACAGGGAAAAGACAAAAGTGACAGATTTTTCATTGTTTTACTACATGATCTGAAAAAGAGGGTGTATTGAATAGGACTATGCAATTTTTTTTGCTTGACATTTTGATACATGTATCAATACACTTAATTTTGTTTATCGAAAGCCTTGGACAAATCATTAAAAGCAACATATTGTTGTTTTCCTTTTGGTTAATTAAAAAAATCGAAGCCTGCAAATTCAAGGAACGTTCTAGTTATCATTTTGTAAACGAACAGACAATACCGGTACTAAAAAAGACACAAACAACAATAATTTTACAGGCAGCACATTTCGTGTGGATGATTAAACTTCGAATACAACTTTCATCCTGATTTCATGAACCAGAGTAATTATACTTTTTTAGCAGATCTACACTAGACTATTTCTCGTCAGTGAAGTCTGGTCAGGTAAATATTATATGTACATGCTCTCTTTGAATATTTACAGGTTGATTAAATGTCTTTTTTTTAGTTGGATAAAAATGGGAAAGGTACAACTGTTATTACAACAGAAGAATTAAAGACAATAGCCTATAGAGGATATCTTTCCTACAAGACAATAATTGGTCAAGTAAATGTGACTGATGACACAACTGAAGCGACGTACATCTCTCAAACCAGTCAAATTTCAGTGACTAGGACAAGAGAAAAGTTAAGCTTTGTTCTAAATCCACAGAACTACAAGCCTGCACTAGTTAACAGATTGTATGTAAGTTTTGCGTTGGTTGTAAAATTCAGAATTCCGTGTGTTTTGCTAACGAATTACTTTTAGTTTGAAAATTGAGGGCCTGGTTAATTTGATATTATTTTGTACTGTGTGTTGTAACTGATGACAGTAACCACAGTTTAATTTGATCTCAATATCTCATATTTACGGCCCAAAAAGGAATGACAATGCATATTTATTAACGCTTTAAAAAAAAAAGAAAAACACCCAAATCTCCCAAAATCAAATACCATAAATAACAAATTCTTTTCAGATTGAACTCAAGCAGATTGATGGCAAACCAGTTTTGGAACCAGGTAATATTATTGTAAGTGCCAGGGTTAAAATCCTCATACCAGGAAGAACCAGCTGCAGAACCACCACCACCATCCGAGAACCCGGACAACTCATCCACGCCAACTCCTCCTACTACTCCACGAAGGAGATATGGTCATCATGGCTGGGGCTATGGTCGCTATGGCTACCCGCCTTGGTATGACCCTAACTGTAAGGATCCACAATATAGATATGAAAATTTACCAGAAAAATATTTGACTGTACCAGCCAACGGTTTACTGACGTATGATTTATTGGTGAATGAAACCGATTCTGTTGAAGTTTATCTGAAGGTAAGACAATCTAACGTTATTATTTCTGTGAAAAAGAAATAGTAGTATTAAAAACACAATATTTGTTCACATGCTTACTATTACAACTTTCAGCATAAATTTTAGTATTTATTTCTGTATGGCAAATGTACAGTCGTCCACACAAAGAATTTTTTCTGCATTTTGTTTTATTGACTGTCGCAATTTTAGTCTGGTTAGGCCAGTTGATTAGAAAGTTACATGAATAACTGAAACTGAAAAAATATTTAGACGACTATATCAGATTATAAATATGTAGATCATTCTACTGGTAAACAATCTGACAATCCGATGCTCTGGCATAACAGCACAAAACATTTTATATAGATAAAACATTTTGAGAATTGGCAATTATTGGATAAACAGTAATATGGTCGGTTGATCTTCGGTTGTATTCAATGGTTTTGGTTCTCAATTGAAGTTACCTTTGATTAATCCTGGATTCTGATCTTGAAATAGAAACTATTGAAAACTTTTCAGACAAGCTTGTATCATTACACACGTATCTGATTTCTGCGTCGAGGACCATATCTGTCATATAAATCTTAACTGTCTTTTAGTTTAAAACATTTAATGAATATTTGAAATTCGGGGTCTCACTCTTATGCTATCTTGCCTTAATACTCTCTTTATTAATTGATTTTATAGGTAAATTATGTAGAAGATACTGACGTATATACATCAAGGACTCTAACATCTTTCAAATCCCCGAGCAACACATTCTTGTCTGTCTCTCTTAAAACTAACAAACCAGCGTCTGGACAAAAAGTTGAGCTCGAACTCAAAGCTACTCGAGAATTTAGCAGAGTTTATTACACAGTAAGTAATAGAGTCCAGGTTAGTAATAAAGAGTTGGAGAGTTATATAAGATCCTGTGAGATAACCTCTTTATTAATACTGCATTTCGTGCAAGAGATATAGAAGACAACAAACTCATTTTTGGATAATTATCTAATTTTGGTGACTTCAAAAATGAAATTCAATGTAGATTAACGTCTGATTTTATATAAGATGTAAGCTTGAGTTAAAAAGGAGATATAGATTTTAACACTAAACATCGGGAACACCGAGAAGTTTTATCAGGTCTAAATTAAAACACTAAGAAAATTAAGTGTTAAACAGTTAGTATGAACATATAAAAATGTAGCATGGATATGTTAATAATATACACATAAGGAAAGCCAAATTAACTACAAGAATAACTCTATAATCTAGTTAATGCTAACACTTTGTCAGCTGTTAGAAATCCATGCAAGCGTGAGTGTAGGATTAATGAATTCTATCGGTTGTTCTTCCAACAAGATCCATAATTAAACATATGGATAAACTGTCATTTTGTTTTACAGATTCTGTCTCGAGGGGTGCTGATAACAGAAAATCACCAAGATTTCAGTACACCAAGTAAATCTCAAATTCTCAGCTTTTCCGTAACTAGCGATATGGCACCAAAGCTTAAAATCATAGTAAATATTAGAGTGGAAGATAAAGAAATTGTTGCTGATGCTATCTCATTTAATGTTGAGGGATTTTACAATAACAAGGTGAGAATCGGGTATACAGAATATTCACCTCGTTTTTATCACCTATTGAGCAGTTGTTGCTGACTTGAATTACTACGAGTAGAATTTTTCCATTGTGGTGACAAGCTAGGGTCTGTATTAGCAATTCTTGAAATCAAGCTCAAAAACATGTTGTACATCATGGTAAATTTCTATTATCTTAGGTATCATTAATGTTCGATTCGGATAAAGTAGAAACTGGATCCATATCAACTCTCAGTGTTAAAGCTTACAGCAATTCTAATGTATATGCTGTGGCTGTTGATAAAAGCACCACTTTACTTGGGGAAGCATCAGATGATTTCAGCCAAGAGGTGAGTCACAGGAAATTTCCGCCTCTATGAGATGATACCACGATAAGTATTAGACATTAAATATAATTATGTAAATAGTTTTCAGAAGTACTAAAAATATACAAATATGGCATAATTCATTTAAAATTATCTCAAGCTAGGAATTTCATTTCTATTCTATAGATGTCTTTTCTATACATGACAGTGTCTCAAGAAAAGACGACTCGTCTTTTTAACTTGAATAAAAAGGCTAATATTTCGACTGTTAGCAGTGAACACTTTTACTGATTGACTAAGGTGAGACTAAGGTATGATTGGTAATATGACAGTGATCGATTTAAGTTTCTAGGACCCAGAAAATGAATGCCAACTATAACCAATTTCAGTTACCTAATCTTATGATAAGATGACTATATTTCTTAAAATCATGTTGACAAAGTCAAACTTATTTTCAAATGTTTAAATATGAAGAGGTGTTGTTGTGGTATAAGATTTACAAGAGAGTTTTGACAACTCTCTATATTTGTATTCTTTAGGTGAAAGAATTCTTAGACAAAGTTAGCAGTAGGAATTATTATAGAAAGAAGAGGGGAGCTCTCTTTGGAAAGAGGAGTGAATCTGAAAAACGTTCTCGCACTAAACGATCAGTATGGTGGCCATACGCTTATACCACATCTGGAACCGATGTTGATGATATATTCAGAGTACGTTATATTATAATTATAATGACATTTTTGTAAGATAAAAGACGGTCTATTACAGCATATTTGGTGTTGGATAATTTGCTCTTACCCATTTTTGCCACACTGTTGTTTTGTATTCTGTTTTATTCTGTATGCTGTTTGGAGCGTTTGAGTTCATTTAATTATAGACAACCATGACAGGTTTTAAAAGAATGAGGGGGGGGGGGGTATTGTTCATTTCAGTTGTAATACATATTAAGCTATCGTCATATGATGTTCACATCTAACGTTTCTATCTTTCTTGAATAGTATACTGGTTTAAATGTTATATCTGATGCCTTAGTCTATAAATACCAAACACCAGAACCATGTCGGCGTTATTATGGTCGATATGGTAAATATATATTCTCTTTTAAAATGTCAACGTAATTGCAACTTTTGGCTCTTGAATTACGATATACAGTATTCCGTAAATGGTAAATACATAAAATAAGATCAAATTCTGAAAACAAAAATGAAAATTCGGTAAACAAAGAGATGATTGATTAACTTAAATCAAAATTTCAATGAATTTCTGAACATGTAGAACTAAATCAGAATTTGAATTTCCTATCTAATTCAACCTGTCCATATCTTTGAGGAAATGATTTGATCTTCTGGGTGTCATGAATCTGGACAATTTGATAAAGTATTTATATAATTGCTGACACGCCATAAAAAAATATAAATGATGGTTTCATACATTCATTACCTCAGCAATATAACTCTTATAACTCAATACTCGTACAGGATATCCAGGAACACAACCACCTGCTGGGACATCAGCTACCATGCCTCCGGAAGCATTTCAACCAGCTCAAGCTCCCGATGTTGCATCCAGGAATTTTGATGAGGAAGTTTCTGCTAGATCATTCTTTCCAGAAACTTGGATTTGGGAGTCACAAAATGCTGGGTTAGATATTATTTTATTATTTTATAACAAGTCTATAGAAGGTTCACTGACAGTGAATTCGTAAAATCAGTCAAACTCGTCTCACAAACATTTTTGACCTTTAAACTTTAGTGACACTCAAGAGGTCAAGAAGTCCAAGATCACATATGTTTAGTGAAGTATACTATGATGAAATCGAATCAGATCGGTATAGTCAAAGCCAATGATATTGACTGATAAAGAACACGTTATCCACAAACATTGAAAATGATACTTTTATTCTCCTGCAAAATCTCAAAACCGTGGATGGTAAGGTAGCACGCCACGTGAGTTATAACTGTTTGTACCCAGAGGGTTAAAAAACGATACCTGGGAACTAAAGCATTTTGTTATATCGGGCCTTATTCTACCTGCACATGGTGATTTTTAAACTCCTTCCTGAATATAGACAGATAAATTGCAGTAGATTGGTTTTATAATTTATATAGATCTTTCATGATCTATTGCAGCTCTATAGGGATCGCCAACTTCACATTAAAAGTACCAGACACTATCACAACCTGGGTTGCCAGTGCTTTTGCTGTCAGTCCAAATCCCTTAATTGGAGTTGGTATGACGTCAGACGTAGCTGAGGTGAGTATTAATTTTCAAACAAATAATCACCAAGATAATATCTGGTGGTCCAGAAAAAACACATTAATACTCTTCAATTCAGGATTTTTCATAAAGTATCAAAGCTATGATCATAATATTTTGACTTTATATTTTTGGGGATATAAGACAAAATTATTTTCACCAAATAATATCTTTATAGCTTTATATCAGGCTGAACAGATTTCGAATACCAATTTGTTCAAAATTACTTGTGAAATAATATTAAGCTGAAAATAATTACTATAATTTCACATCCTTAGTTGAATAAATGCTCAATATAACATCCATTTCAGCAGAAATCGCCCGAATTCCATTTTTCTATGACGAGATATTGTCTGTCCGGTTTATTCATGTGGTATTTTGTTAGATTTCCCTCTAAATCTGTCCTTCAGTTCCTCCTGCTATCTCCAGCTAGAGAAAGCAAACTGTACACCATTTGATTGTCGTCGGGAGTTTTAGGGTTGCCATTCATCTTTTGTATGGAATACTCCAATTTTCAAAATTCAAAAGGCAATATTTTGTTTCGGTATTACATTATTTGACAAGGCATTTTAAAAAGACTGGTCGAGGACTCTGATTGGCTGACGTACAATCCATCCAAATCTCGGGTATGAGACGAAGTTCGTAAAAGCTTGACTTTGTGAAGATGGTGTTGATGATACTTCTTGTCTTACAGCTGACAGCGTTTACAGAGTTTTTTGTTATGTTAAATCTGCCCTATTCTGTTGTTAGAGGTGAAGAACTGGTTATAAAAGCCAGTGTGTTTAACAATCTTGGTTTTGATACAGAGGTTTGTATATTGGCAAAATAGACATAAAACATACATTACTTTATATAAACCCATGGACAGTACGATAATGGAGTGCGTCAAAACCGGCATGTCGAATACCATTTTCAATATCGGATACGGTTCAGTCTTTTCTTTAAATTTTGAAATCTTTCAAAGTTGTAACTTGATCTTCGTTGATTTTTTTTTTTACAAAATGAGTTGAAAATTAAAGAAACTATTACATTTTCACTATTACGGATCATGAGAGTTTAAATTAATAAACAAACAAATCATGTTCTCACTCTTCATTTTTTGTCCAATAAATACAAGTTTTGTAAAGGAATACCAATAATGGTTTCGAATTTATTATATAAGATTGAGATAATATAACGAAACACTGTGTCTTTTGTGATACCATTACCAAATATAATTTCCAGTTACTTTTACTAAATGTTGAAACTTTTGTGGACAAGGCGCTCGTGTAAGACATTCATCAAAAACTAATTAGTGTCAATATTGCATGATACAGATACCATGTCCGTTTATCTAATTCTGTACTTTTGGTGTCAAGGAATACAAAAAAATCCGTACAATTCTCAAAATCAAAATCTCCTCTAAAGTATTGAAAAATCGTGAGTAAAAATTGTATAGTAGTGGACTCATCCAAAGAAAAGTACCAACATGTTTCGAAAAATATTGTTGCTTCAAAAATTGATATCACGCTTGTAGCTGGGATTTCAAACAAAGAGATCTCAACTGCTGCATCAATATGTGTTTCTATCAGCCCGACATACAGCAGCATTGTTTATAACCTTTAATATGTCTTCAGGCTGAAGTAATGTTAGAGAATCCAAAAGGATTTGTTATTATTCAAGTTGATGCTGACGGATTTGAAGTCGAGTCCATGGTAACAGAGACCACAAGAATAAACGTAAGTTAATTTATAAATTCCTTCCAAATAATCAATGCTGATGATTACACTGGATTCTTTAAACATGTATACCCTCGTTTATTTTAGGTACCCAAAGATGGAGCTGCTACTGCTTATTTTACTGTTAGATTTCTGGAAGTTGGATATATCGATCTACAGGTTTATGCTCGAACTGTTACATTACAAGCTGGTGACAGGATTTTGAAGCCAATGTTCGTTGAGGTAAGCTATTTTGTGGTTGAATATATCAAAACAATAATTATAGAATTGTAATGTGTTAAATAATTTTATGGGTTATTGAATTATTAGAAAACACATTCATTCGTATAGGCCAACATCAGTTCAGAACCCAATTTAATAGCTAAGATTTGTCACCTCCTGTAAATGAATCCGTACTGAGTTGTTTTGTGTAATCTATTACCTCAATACCTTGAATGTTGCACTTACCCTTTTTTGCGCTTGTTGATTCATCATCGTTATTATTTAGACCTCAATTTCTTTATAGGTTGAAGGAATACCACAAGAATACAATGAAGTAGTGATTGTAGAATTGGTTGAACAGAATTATTTCAATAGAAGCGTAGAAATACGATATCCCAGTAATGTTGTACCAGATTCGCAAAAAGTTGTCGTTACTGCTTATGGTATATACCTTATCTCACTATTGAATAATTGAGTCAACTATTTTCAATTGAATATTGAATATATTTAAATAGTTTTCAGAAGCACTTGAAATTTACAAAAATCGCATAATTCCTCCAGAAATACCTCTAACTATAAATTTCAATTTCTATTTCAATATATGTCTTTTCTATATATATGGAAACTCGAATAATTATGGACAAACTTGGATTCAAAGGCGGTGAGCTGAGAACACTATTACTGATTAGTCTAGCTAAAGAAATTCCCGTTTCTGAGACTAAGTATGATTAGTTAATCGGATGGCGAAGCTGTCCCTTTAATGCAACATTTTGTCACGGGTATTATCATTCGTCAATCGTCGGCAGTTTCCGTAAAGCCGAATTTGTCTCGGCTATGAATGGTGATTTTCGTCATGTCTTCATGGTCAAGTCCCTTTACTTGCGGTATAAGCAGTGATTTGTCAAATGATTTCGACCTAAATATAGTCGTTAACTTTAAAACCCTTTGGAGATTAGCCTGGCAATATGTATATAATGTCGTTTGGTGTATTATTAGTCATTATTGGTATGAAATACTTTAGATATTTGATCGGAATCTGTACCTTTTGAAATTGAAACTGTAAGTTTCTTTATTGTTCACTTACTGTTGAAAACTGGATCTTTGTCAATATAAAAAGAGAAAAATCGCTTATTGTCATTTGTAGGAGATCCACTCAGCTCGGCTCTACAGGATACTGAAAAATGGATCAAAAGGCCATATGGTTGTGGAGAACAGAATATGATCAACTTTGTACCTAATATTTATACCTGGGCATATCTTCATTGTACTGGACAATTGACCCCGGCTATACAAACCAAAATAAAGAATTATTTAGGAATTGGTATGTAAATATCTACATTGAACATTGTGACCACTCGATGTGGTAATGACTGATGGGCGTGTTTTTATCCTGTTGTAACAATTCAATTGTATTAACTTTATTGTATTAGCTCTATTGAATTAACTCTACTGTATTAACTCTTATATACTACTTCTACTGTATCATTTCGACTGTAAGAACTCTATTGTATTAACTCTATTGTATTAACTCTATTTTATTAACAATACTGTATTAACTCTATTACATTAACTCTACTGTATTGAATCATTTCTACTGAATAATATCTACTTAATCAACTCTGCTGTATTAACTTTATTGTATTAACTCTACTGGACAAACTCTACCTTATTCACTCTACTGTGTCAACTCTATTGTATAACCTCTACTGTATTGACTTTACTGTAATGACTCTACTGTATTAACTTTACCGTATTGGCTCTATTGTATTAACTCTACTGTATTAACACTATTGTATTGACTATACTGCATTGACTCTATTGTATTAATTATACTGTATTGACTCTATTGTATTAACTATACTGTATTAACTCTATTAACTATATTGTATTGACTCTACTGTATCATTTTTACTGTATTAACTCTATTGTATTAACTATACTGTATTAACTATAATGTATTAAATCTATTGTATCATTTCTACTGCTTTAACTCTACTGAATTAACTATTTTGTATTGACTCTATTTAAGGTTACAGTGGAGAAATGAGATATCAACGAAATGATTATTCATTCAGTGCGTTTGGTGACAGAGATAGCTCTGGTAGTCAGTGGTGAGTGTAAACCATGCTTATCTGATATACATTGATACTTATTTTGGGTTTTATTCACACATTAGTTCCCATGAATAACAAAGGGTGCTTTCGCAAAGGTTATTTCCTTTATCATCATTTACCTTTTCAGATCACATTATCAAAGGGGATTTCAGGATTGCAGATTTCGTTATGGTTTTAAATACCAACCGGTGGAAAAAGCTCACGTATAGTAGAGCAAAGATATGTATGGACACCCGATGACGATTTTGAAAAAACGATTGTGAGGTTAAAAAAAAATAGTAATTGAACTGCATTAGTTGGACTCACATTGACGTTTTTCAAAATTGACATGAATTCCGTTTTGCCTGTTATTTAATGGGAATTTTAAAGTATGTAGGAATATCCAACAGATGAATGTTTACTTTCTTTCCAGAACTACTGATATATATTACCGAAAATACCATACTTCCATTACATCACAAAATAGAAGGAATTGTCTGCAATGAATAGATATTTGACTTATTGCCTCCGAAATACCTAGATGTGGTTATCTATTGATGGAACTTATAGCTTAGGTTTTACATTTCATTATAATTTGTCATTGACAAAGGATGTCATTTGGATTTGGTCACTTTCGTTATGACGTTATCATATCTTGATTTTGAGGCCTCAATATTTTTTTTTTGTAGTATGCTTTCATTTGCTCTCAAAATGTATTATAATTTGTAGGCTAACAGCCTATGTAGTAAGAACATTCAGTGAAGCTCGTCAATACATCTATGTTGATGAAAAAATATTAGAGTATGCTGTTAATTACTTGATAAATAATCAGAATGAAGACGGTACCTTTAATGAACCTGGCCGTGTGATTCATAAGGAATTAAAGGTATATTGCACCTATATTAACACAATTTCCAAATCTTTTAGACGTATAAAAGCAAAAGAGTGAAGGCAAGTATGACCATTTTATCATTGATTGGTGTCAAATTGAACTTTTGTATATAAGACATTGTTAAGAATATTAATGAACATTTTACGGCGGACGTTATTTATATAAGATCAGAGTTGACTTTTGGCCCATGGTGATTTCCAGTGATTCAGTTGAATTCAAATACAGTGTTATTTAGATTTTTGAAGTGAGTTTGAAATATAGAATAACAGAATCGTATCTTTCCTGCCAACATGATTTAGATGTTGAGGGACAATGGATATATTTGAGCGATAATTAGTTTGATGTGGTAACTAATTACGGACATTAGTAGTGTGATACAATACTTTTACTTGACCCAATAGCTGTTAAAGGAATACTACGTCTTAGAATGAACATAAAATTTAAGAATTTTAAACTTGGCCAATAAGAGCATATATTCATCAGTAGCTATACCTGGTGTCATAAATAACATAACAGGATCCTTATATAATCCGATAAATCTAAACAAAAGTTTAGTAATTATTCATAAATATGCAATTAACTATTGAAAAACGCTTAATATTAAGATTTCCCAATAATTTCTTAGTTTTATGAATGTTCCAATGTTCCAGATATATTAACTTTATGACACCGGGTATATATGAATATGTACTCATATTGACCATTCTTGAGAATTTAAATTTTATGTTCATTTTAAGACGTATTATCACTTTAATATGGCATTTCAACGTTTTAAATTATTTGTAGGGCAGTTCATTTGAAGGAAATGGTTTGAATGCCTTTACTTTGATTGCTCTTTCTGAAAATTCTGAAATAATGCAGGTAAATATAAAGTGGTGTAGTCGCTTGATTATTCTAAGAATAACTTTATCTAATATCCGCTATTTGTTATAGGACAAATTAGACATCTGGTGAATAACCCTACTGCATTCCACCCTACTGCAAAGCAATTATTATCAGTAGGCTTTAATTGCTGATAAAACTTCAGTTTAAATAAATATGTTTTTGTAAAAATATTAAAAGAGTTAAAAAAAGATATCATGAAAAAATATATCTTTCACAGGAGGCGCAGATAACAACAACATAGATATGCTGGTAAATGGCATACGTTACTTTCGTCAGCACTAATTGCCAGGTGCTAATCATGTTCCAAATATAGGAACTGAGAATTACTCTTTTCATCCATATACAAAGACAATTTCTCCCAGGCAGGCATATAGTCTTCACTTGGTTCATTTGATCAAACATATTATATCTTTCAAAATAAGATAAGTAAAACGTAAGAGTAATTTATTGATAAAAATCATTGAAACAACATAAAAATATGACCTACATTGTGTTCCATAAAATTTTTCTGCTGACATGGTATCCGCTAATGTGTCACGTGACTTTGTTCACTGGAATATATTCTAGCAGACGACACTTGGAATAGTTTGCGATTTCAGCATCCACTGGAAGCGGACGTTAACTTGTCATCTACCAACAAACCAACCATCTTGGGATTCCGAGTACAGTTGGGGATTATAAGATAATTTGGCCGATAAAAAAATTGTGACATTTGGTAATAACTGAAATCCGCCATTTTGTATATGTAAGGAATAGATAATAAATTCGACATTGTTTTGAAACGATAGGAAATATTTTAAAGGTTAACGTTGAGAGATAACCCATGTTTATCAAACCACGCAAATGCAGAGGTCACGCTAGGTCGCATATGTCAATTATTTATTATTTACGGAGATTCACGAAAACGGAAACAATCCACGTCCTTGTCGGTTGGGATTCATTACCTTTGTGACTCTTTTCTGTACATTTCCGTACATTAATTGTGGGACTTTGCTTTCCCAGTTTGTTATCGAAATGTCCATTCTTTTTTTTTTTTTTGTGGGACTTTGCTACGGCAAAGTCCCAGTTTGTTATCGAAATGTCCATCCTTTTTTTTTTTTTTTTTTTTTTTTTTCGTTTCGTCCACACCTTCCCGAGCTTAGACTGCAGTAGTTGTATTAACGTTTTGAATTTCATAGACCTTCTATATAGGTGACGATGTGCATAAATATAAATTGGAACATTTTTGCAAAACCGGAAGTGCCACAGTTCAACATGTGCAAAAAGTCGAAAATCGGCTCTAGAAGGCGCATTTTTGCATCGATTTTCTTCGGGTTTTCATTTTTACAATCTACCTGTAATTTCTGACCTGATAGCACTTGAAAAATTACGAAATTCGAAAATTCGTCGCTCACTTTTTTCGATCAAATTTTTCGATTTTTTTGCAACTTTTTTGCTTTTGCATCGATTGATCTGAAATTTTAAATGCAAAGAGACTTCACTAATGTTAATAATATGATACAGTCAAATTTTGTACGTCATTCCGATTTCAACAGGAAAGCGACG